ATTATTAAAAACATTGTTTAATATATAGAGGTCACCATATTATTAGGTTTTATTTTTGTTACCAAAAAGTTGTTTCTATAGACTTAATGTCTTAAAGGAAGTTGTTGCATTCTATGTAAAATATATTTTTGAGTATGATTGACCACTAAAATATATTTTTGAGCATGATTGACCACTAAAATATATTTATGAGTATGATTGACCACTAAAAGTCATTGCGTCATTAAATAGTTAGCTTTACAAAATAAAGATCTGTATGTATGTAAAAATTATAAACTTATAAAAATAAAAGTTTTATATATATATATATATATATATATATATATATATATATATATATATATATATATATATATATATATACATCTATCATCTATATATATATATATATATATATATATATATATATATATATATATATATATATATATATATATATACATCTATCATCTATATATATATATATATATATATATATATATATATATATATATATATATATATATATATATATATATATACATATATATATATATATATATATATATATATATATATATATATATATATATATATATATATATATATATATATATATATATATCTATATATATCTATATATATATATATATATATATATATATATATATATATATATATATATATATATATATATATATATATATATATATATATATATATATATATATATATATATATATATATATATTAATTAGCAAAAATTAGCAAAATTGGAATTTAAAAAAAACAACCTTAAAACTAGTTTATCAGATAGGCAAAAATTATAATGATGAATCTCAGGAAAATAACCAAGATTGGTTGATCACCCTGAATCCGATAACCAAGCTTTAATCACCTACCCAAAAAAAAAAAAAAAAATGCGTTAGCTGGTACAGTAATACACTCATTTACATTTTTATTCATAAAAAAACACATTTGCAAGAGATATTTTTAAACTTGTTCTTGGTGAGCTTAAGGAAGTTTGGGAAAAAGCTGGAGTACCAATATGATCAAATAACTCTTGTTAAAATTGAGGAAAATGCTGAATATAAAGAAAATTGAACAGTAGAGTCAAAATGTTAAAGCTGGTAAAAAAATACAGTCAGATTTTTTAATGTACTTGAACAACTTTGCAACATTTCAATAGTAAATGCATATAAACTGCTGTTAATATCAAGACCAAAATGGAAAAAAGATTAGGTTTTTTATGAAGATCAAAAGAGTAGCAGAAAATATCACATGACAGATAGCATCAGTCTAGGTGTTTCAAAATGTTTAAAATGCCAAGAAGCTATACTGACCATGAAGCTATACTGAGCAATTTTCAGAGAAGGTCAACCAAAGATCAAAAACTGAGTGCCTTCATTCAGTGAATTAGTTGATAGTGCTGAAGAAAAAAGATCAAAAAGATACAAAGTTTACTCCTTTATCTCTATAGAAAAGGAAGATGCTTTTAACAAATTCACTCATAATATCAGCAAAGAATTTTTCAGAAGTTTTTCAAACAGCATCTGTGACTGATGTTGTTTACCAGTTTGCCAACAGCTTCTATTTCAATCCACTATCATCGACAAAAGCCTAGACAAACTTAATGATATGACTATGTCAGACAAAATGCGCAGGAGAAAACAGTTTTGTCAATTTGTAGTGATAAGATAAACAAAAAAAATTTACACTATGATTTGAAGCTTTTTCATTTAGACATAATAAGATTATAAGAACTAAGCTTATAAGAGCTGCTACATGTTGTTTATTATATTTAACTTATAATGAAGAATATGCAGCAGTTCTTATTAGCCGATCTCATAATGGTAACTTATTTATATACTATGTATATTTCTTATTGCTGTTTTCAAAGAAATTAACTTTTATTTTCAGTCTTAAACTTATTGATGTACCTTTAACTAAAGATACAACAGGTAAAATTTAATGTGATGCAACCATGAAACTCAGGCAACATTGGAAAATTTTGGAAAACATTGTTGGTATATGCTTTGGTACCACAGCCAGCAATACAGGTGATAAAAACAGAGCAGCAACTTTAACTGAAATTAAGTCAAAGAGACCTCTCCTTTGGATGGCATGTTGCCATTATCATAATGAGCTACGCATCAAACATGCATTTACTGCATTACAAAGAGACAGAAAGAGTCCTAATGAACTTATTTATGACCAAAAACTTTTTTAATTAGGAAACCAAAATTTCTAACATTAAATTCTTCAACCTTTTTTATTTTTAAATTTGCCAACAGTCTTGGCTACTTTTTTATCTATTATTTATTTATTTATTCAGTCATCAATAATTATTATTTACAAATTTATTGAAATCATGCACAGTAAAAACAGTTCACGGTAAGAGTTTATCTAAAATGTATATTCTAATTATTGACGGAGAGAGGCAGACAAGGACCCGTTTTTCTGACAACATATGCAATTATAGCTGTGCCAGCCAAATTGAAAAGCGTGAATAAACTGTATTATTAAACTCTACATTTAAAACAGTTGAGTGATGGTGTGTTTACTGTGGTAGTTAAAAAGGAATTTCAGTTTTTAACTGCTCAATTAGTGAAAAAATTACGACTTTCATGTTTCAATTTTTTTTCAACATCCAGTTCAAAGCCATGGCTCTTTATTCTTTAACTAAACTTAGATCTTCGATAGGCTGGTGTGGTTTGTGGCGCCACAAAATTTATTAAATCAATACCATTAATTATTTAATAATGCTGTATAAGGTCCATACGCTTTTATGTTTATGTTTATTTATGTTTGTTTGTGTTCTGTTTATACTCTAATGCAGCATGAGCTCAGTAACTAACTACTTACTCCAACTACAAAACCTACACTCACCTTAGACTCCTGTATTTTGTTAGATGCAGTGTTTTTCCTAATGCACTTCCAAAATGTCATGCCTGGTTTTCTCAAAGTACTGTTGCGGGAAGTAACTCCTTTTAACTACTCCAGGTCAGGTCAGGATAATCGAGATCAATCTTGCTACTGGTATCACGTAACCCAGTACCACCTGCCACAAGCTCTGCTGCCTTGCAGAGTGTGCTCTTCTTATGCAAAGGCTAGGAGAAATAAACTCCGACTAAAAATTCCCCTGCCTTGGGGCTCTTGGTTGAGTAAAGGCTAGAGATGGTGTCTCGATAAAAACACTCATCTTGGGCAGATGTTAACTGCATCCAGCTAAACATCCCCTGCCTTGGGGCTCTTGGTTGAGTAAAGGCTAGAGATGGTGTCTCGATAAAAATACTCATCTTGGGCAGATGTTAACTGCATCCAGCTACTTTCTTGTAGAAGGCCTCCTAGGCAAAGACTTTAGGGGTAAGCAGAAAAACTCACTATTAAACTTCATCTATTAGGCTGGCGTAGATGTAACCTGTGTTACATTGTTTCCTGCCTAGGATGATGAATGCTGGATCTCCTTGACTCTACTCATAGAATTTTGCTTATGCCTCCTTGATAATGGCTATGCAACTCTTCCTGTTATCTCCATATGAGGGTACAGCTCTAAAACTCAGTTTAATGGTTCTGAGGCCGGCTGGTAGTAAGGTTTTCCAAACTCTGTGGTAGCTCTCAGAGAGGCTGATTCCATCAACAGCTGCAAAATATCAGAGTATTAACAGTGCCATGTTGCGCATGGATGGTGTCCCTGTTAATGCTTTTGGTGTGCATTGTCAAGGCCACATAAGGAGCCCTATGTCACGGCTTAGGGTTAAGTAACAGGACTGAGACAACTGCATAGCTCATTGATTAGGAGGCTGTGCTCTATCTATGAATGAGTCAAGTTCTCATTATCACCCAAATCATGACCAAAGTAACCAAAAATTTTAAAACTAAAAAACCATCCCCACCACCTAAATGT